TATATATATATATATATATATATATATATCCACACACAGTTTGTTTTTAAGTGCATTAATTTTCATTTGACTTTATCTAAAACTGTCAGCATTAAGGATCCACAAATGGTTTACAATAGCTTCAGGACAGCATTTACAGTAGTTACTGCATTGAAAAAAAGTGGAATATTTTCTCTGATAAAGAAAAAAATACAACTATACTGATTCTTTCAGATATAAGATGTCATGCTTCAATTGACATAAGTTTATTAGAAAAACAACAACAGTATTTTATGGAATCTGGCTACACATTACTATCATTCTAACTACAACAATACCATTCAAATTGTGATATTTCAACTGGTACAGGTTTATTAGATTAACAATAATTTGGGCAAGTGGAAACTAACTATAACTTAATATTATCCTAGCTCCAACAATAACAAAGTATTTCTTATACTGGAAGTTATTAATGTACTCGTTTTCTTTGAGATTCTAAAGAAATAAACAGATTGTGTATTACTAGATGATGGTCTTAGATTTAAAGTTCAAAATTTACTTCATTAACAAAAAAGTTTTTCAGATTGTGAGATATATAAATAAATTTTCCTTGTATTTGAATAACTGTTATGTAAAAATAATTTTTAAAGACTTACTACAAAAAAAAGCCAATTATTAAATTAATGCCATTAACAAGTAAAGTATATATAATATTGCACTGACAAAAACGTTTAGTATTATTATTTGCATAAAATTATAAAAATAATTGGACCTTACACTTTAAAAGCTCAAAATCACAATATTTACAACAATTCAATATTGAAGGCTTTCATTGCTGGGGCAAGTGATCACATTTGAATACCACTAATTTTCATATGAGAAATGCAAACAATCTTTAAATTTTGAAAACTTTGGTAACAATTACAAAACTTGCTATATCAGTAGGCAAATGCACACTGATTGTTTGTGCTACTGCTATTTCCATAGAAGTACATGTTCTATGCTATACAGTAAGATGAGATCTTTGAGCAGCCAAAATATGAACATTATGGTTCATACTTACACAAACAAATATTTTAAACATATTTTGTTGAATGACTTAAGCTGAAATAATATCATGCTATATATGTTCATAATTATTGAATTGGAAACATCTATACAAGTAGTATAGTTTACTTTATAGACCAGTACTAGTTTGATAAAAGATTTATAGGTATAAAAATTCTATTTTATTTTCTTTTTAAACAAATTATGTTTTTCATATTAATCATACAGCCAATGCCAAAAACTAACGCTCCTGAGGATTTTGGATGCAAATCCAATTTACAGATTGAATTGTTCAAGCTCTTCAACAGCAGAATCTAAGATAACTGTATATTGAAATACCTTCTTGTCAACACAACCTTCCTTCAGGTGTTTGCAGAGCTTGATAGCCCAGCATCTTCAAATTTGATAAACAACTCTGAAGTTCCCAAACATAAGAAAGAGCTATATAGGTGTTAACAGTCCTCTGATAATTGTTGACAACTAAGGAACTCAAACAAGTTACACATGATTTATATGGAAATTGCTAATGAAACAAACTTTAGCCTCAAACACCTAAAAATAAAACCTTGAAATAATGGTTTTTTGTAACAATTAAATATATTTGAGGCTGTACTCAGTACTGTAACTACAAAAGATGGGCACATCTGCCTCAAAAGTAATTGGGGCCCCTATATTTATTCCCCTTATCAGCAATTCTTAAGTTTGTCAGACCTTTCAGGCTCCCTTTTGGTTTGGCCTCACACAATTGCGGGGACATACTTACACCATTGGCTGTACTATAAAATTAAGAAAATTCATCAAACACTGATTTCTTCCAACAATATCATGTAACTTATGATGTTACAACTGATACACCTAAATAAGGAAATAGCTACTAACTGAGACCTGGAGCAGTTGAATGTTCATTTTGGCACACATATAATAATTACAATTATGTTTTAAATTCTGCAATTGTATCTATTTCAATTTAGAAAATGATTTATTAAAGCTTTAGGTACTGATTGTAGCAACAGAAGACAAGTTTCTGTAACAGTACACACAATCTTAACTTAAATGTGTTATTTATCATTGTATTTCAATACAACTCCTTCTACTCCAAAGAAATTAACCCTCACTCTTTCATTAGTTTCTAGAATTATACAAAGTCATAAAACCCTATACAAATATTGATTTGTAGCCATACATATTGTGATTTGATAGAATGATAGTTTTATCTTCTGTGTTGTTTCAAAATATGCTTTTAATATTTAATAACTAATGAAATAGAATAGATTGCAAATTATTCATAACAAAATAGAATCTGTCTTGGTATTTAACATAATAAAGATTTTGAATATTTTGAAAACAATTCATTTATCTATATGTATCTACTAATCACTGCATAGGTTTTTCTGCATAGCACAATCCCCATTTCTGGTCACCATTGTCAACCCAACGTATCTTGGCATTCCAACCTTGATTTAAATCATCATAGTCTTGTTGGCAAAACTCCTGCAAGAAAAAATGTACCTTTCATTAAAATAAGTTTATCTTGTGAAAAGTTAAGCTGATAATGAAATATGGAGACAGATATAAGTCAAAGTGATAGTTTCACTATAGCCTTTAAAACTATCACTAAGTTTTGAATTCTTGTAAAAAAAAAAAAAAGAGTCCCATGACAGGCCAGTAGTAAGTTTACGAAATTACCATGCTAAAATCTGGGGTTTGAGTCCTCTGGGTGAACACAGTGCATATAGTCCATTATGTAGCTTTGAGCTAAAAATTAACAATAGTCTCGCTAAAGAAACTTATCTGAAAAGTTGCTTTGAAGTAAAAACCTCTTTCATGGACTTGTGAACTGATAATATACAATATACTGATATAATAAACTTCAGATTATGCAGTTTTGTATAAGGTATACATAATATAGCTTTGATTTAAAGAGCAGTTGCAATACCTAAAAAAAAAATGTAAATCAACAGCTGGAGGAAAATTATTTCCTCTAACAAAAGTGACTCAGGGCAATTGGGAGTTTTATGGTTTTCATTCGAAACATCAAATTTACTGAACAATATCAAGATAAACATTTAAAACTTAGTGCAATGACTCTGGTTATCTATTTTGATATTCCCTTACTTCCTGTGTTAGATAGTAGCAACACAGTCAACACCATCTTGGAGAAAAATATTGATTACAATTCCATATTTACTACATATATCTACATGAAAAGGTTTTAGTAAGATGTAAATTCTGTTGTACACAAAAAATTAGATGTGCTACAAATGTATCTGTACTCAAGATATGTTTCTGAATTGATGATATTAGTCTGATTCAGACTCTTGCACGTCAGAATGCAAGGTGATGTTCTTGTGAAGAATAAAAATACTTTCATGCATTGTACAGTCTGCTTATGGTGATTGCATGACTCCTAGAACCTCCAAAATGCAAATCTACAATTTATTTCAGAATCTGGTATTTACTCTCTTCTACCATATTGGGCCAGGCTTTCTTAAGTGTCCATTTTTAAACTGGAAGATGTCAAAAAAAAAATCGTCTCCTATAACTACGTTTTATACAGTTCTTGAAAATATAACTACTGAAAAATCTTGTGCCAAAAATCTAGCACTCGGGTTACATTCTGTCATATTTTTCCGCCTTGATGAAAATGACTACTGTTTTTCACATGTGTTCTCCTTTACCATATTATATTGTACCTAGAATAAAAAGGCAAAAAACAAACAAGTTGTATGAATGTTTTCCATTCTGTTGCCTTTTTTCTGTGATAATATTTCAACTGCTGACTTCGTTTACCATCCATTCTAAAAATACATATATGAAAACCATCACCAAAATGCATACCACTTCTGTATATTAGCAAAGACAGGTGTAGAAATTAATGTGATCTCCTTTATATCTCTATAGTAAATCCAGCTATAGCAGGCTAATAAGAATATTTATTTTGTATTAAACTACTTCCACATATAATAAACATAAGCTTTTATTATAATGTGGCATTATACTAAGAAGTGCAATGCATATACAAGGAGTTGAATTAAAATGGTGATCTCCTTTACAGACATCTCAACATGTCTCCAATTATTTGTTTTTATAAGTAGACCCCTAATTATCTCTCAAAGATTTAGCTTTGTAATTTATCAGATATTTAAACCTAAAACTAGCACTGCTCAAACCATTTGAATGTTAGTTATACAGTTAAAGAAATAAACACCTGTTATGTAATCCCATTTTCAAAGAATTTTATTGCAGGAAAATAGATTGATTTTCGACTAATACATTTCAAATCCACCCTACCATATCATCTGCAAATGGTAGAAACTAAATATGGCGGGAAAACCATTATGCACTCTATATATTCCCCCTCTGAAGCAAAACTGAAGTAAAGGAGAACACATAAAGGAGTTCATGCAATTTCATGTTCAGTGATTTTTATTGAAGAATGCAATTTACTCTTATCCTTTCAGTTATTGATAACAAATGTCTTGGCTGTTGCATATTACAATATAACATAATTTGAATATCTACACTAGATATGTGCCTAAAGGAGATCACATGCTTAAAATAACCAATTTTTTACAAGCTACAAATGGACATACCCAAAATCTCTTGATACCCTGTGTTTGGGGTATGGTCAAATCAAGTTATATACTTCCTAGATAGATTTTAGACTCTAATTTTTTTGTTTCTCAAAAATTTGTAATTACAGTCTTTAAAATAAACAATCGTAAAGGAGAACACATGATTACGGCAACATGTTATTTTGGATATTTTCATATCTGAAAAAGTAATGAGACAATCAGCTAATAACAAATTTTCAAAACATGAATGTGTACTAATTAATCACAATAAAGGCTTGAGTCGTATTAAAAATTTTTGTGTTTGTGCTATTGCTTTGAAATTCAATTTTTCTGTTGGCAACATGCTACTTTTAACACCCCACTATTGTTTATTTCCTTGGTTTTCTGGAAAAACTTACCACAAACTCAACATATTATATATGTTTGGAAAGCTCTGTCCATCATATATCATTTAGAAATTACTATATGTTTGTGTAAGGTACGTACTCAGAACACTGGTGACATCAAATTGGACACTTACGAAAGCCTGACCCTATTGCTAAATAAGCAATGCAGGGTAAAATGAATAGTTGATAACTCTGACATAAAATACATTTGCATTTGGTGGGACATCAAAGGAGTAATTCATTTCAAACTCTTCAATCCACAGCGAACTGTCAGTGCAGAAATATATAGTCAGCAACTGAAACATTTAAAACAAGCCCTTCATCAGAAATGCCCTTCACTCGTCAATTAGAAAGGTGTTTTTCTTCATGTGGCACATTTGATGCAACACAAAGTTATGGAGTTGGGTTGCAAAGTTCTCCCCTACCCACCATATTCTACAGACATGGCACCATCCGATTACCATTTTTTCATTCATTGCAACACCATCTTAATGGGAAAACATATGCAAATGTGGAAGGTGTTAAAGAGGACATCAACATGTTTTTC